TAACGTTAAAATCATCGATTTACGTGAAAGGATGAAAAATGCCGAATAAACTAAGAGAATCGATTGATTGTATGTCTTGCAATCAGTGTACTAGAATCAGGTACTTGTGATTAATAAAATTGAATTCAAGATTGAGCGAAAAATTTGCATAATGTGGACTCACTTTTATCGTTTTTTAATTACACCGTTTTAGCCGGTTTTTCGTCGGAATGTAGCTTATGAATATTTTCCTCCCCTGAGATTCACCCAACTATTTACATGCAGATCGTTAAGCTGGGTTCAGCCACGTCACCCCTCTTACGCTCCGTATCGTAAACTTGCGAAATTCGGTTCGGATCGACTCGGCAACTGAACTAACTGCACGGTAAGGCGTGTAGTATCACGGGTAAATGAAGGCATTTAAGATTTATGAACTTAAGGTCCTCTACCGATGATCCTCCCATGTACATATTAATCACGCTTGTGAGTCAAAAAGACTTTTTTGGTCTCTCATTACAGATGCGTTTTGATCGTATCAATTGGTCAAATTGGTTTATATCTAATTTTTATCAAAATATTTAGACTTTACGCGGGTAAATTTTTCTCGATTGGTCTGAAGCGACAAGCACACAAAAAGTATGGGACTATTATCTTTTCACTTTTTCATCACCATCATAATTTCTTTCTTCATATTTGCCGCCTCCCCTTTCTTCATTTATTTTCCTCATTTTCCTTTTTTCTAGCTTTTTCTTTTTCTCTTTCTCTTTCCACTCAACTTTGTCTCAGAGTCGAAATTCAAAACCTGGTAAGCGCTATTAGATGTTACGTTTGTGCGACTGTTTTTGTCATTTCACGGGAACCAAGACACCTAAAATATTGATTCTTGTGTGAAAAGTATGGCCAAAATGTAGAGAAAATTTCCCCATAGAAAGTCTAAAGACGCTTAAGTTCTCCTACAATCAGAGAGCACCATGCACAATCTTAGCAACACCTGATGGCGCCAACCGGATTTTGAATTTTCACCTTCAGATGATGATTGGGAGCCTTTCTTATCGTCAAGGAGGAGGAAGAGATGTAACCAATGATTGACCTAAAATAGAACCCTTGCAGTGACATCACGGCAGGGGCAAACTAATCAAGGCACTTAATTAATGAAATAATGAGCATTCAATTACCTAATGCATTAATCACCCGATCCATCTCATTCCGCGGGCCGTTGCAGTATTTCGATTAGATGCACATCCTGCAGCGGTCGTGCCGATCAATACCCAATCGAACGATTCCGAATAGATCGATATTCGATTATTCTTCGGATTCGTTAAACGCCCATCCCTCTCCAGTCGGCCCTGCTTTGCGGGGGATATCGTTTACAATTTACATCTCTCCGCGGTCGTGGTGTTTGCTTTGCGTCTGGCTCTTCTCATAGCTCGTGTGACGTAAGAGCGTAACTCCAACTTCACGTGGGTCCTGTTTCCCGTATGACTCCACGCTTTTCATGGCTCATGAGAGGATGGAGTTAGGTCTTTACGTCTGGAGGGAGCCGTTTTCCGCTCTGTTTTCTCTCGATGATAAGACGTCGCGCCTCTGACGTAAGGGCGTATCTCGATTTCCACTTGAGCCCTGTTCTCCATATAAATCCATGCTTTCTGGGGCTCATGTGCAAATCGAGATACGCCCTTGCGTCAGAGGAGCGACGAAGACAGTGGCACGAACCGGAACACCCGGCGCGGCGCGACGAAACCATGTTTCCTCTTTGATTTCTCGCTCCCCTCGTTCCGAGTCACTATCAATCGGGGTCTCTTGTGGATTTTTCCGCTCTTTACACTAAAATTTGGTGTCTGGGCCAAAGCGACTTACTACTGACATTCTAATGGAATGGTTCTTATCGTGCGAGTTGGGAGAAATGTAAACAAATAGTCGTATCCTGGTCGAGAGAGCGTATCTAAATATCAAGATTGCGAAATTTCCATTCGGAATTCGCTTTTCTAGCATTAGGGAACTGTTGGGAATGACTGAAAATTTCACTGGTTTTGTTATGTAAAAAAACACAGGAGTATAAGTGAGATTCTGGATCGAAGTTGCACGGTTATATTTCGGGAAAAATGAAATGTTTTAAGTCAATTTTGCATCCTCGGGATGGAGTTACTTTCCTACGTGTGGGAAACTAGAAAATTTGAGAGTATTATACTTTTTTCACCCGATTTTTTCATCTAAATGTTTGCTTAAGTTACTTGCAAATTCTGTTCCTTAAAAAGTAAAAGCATGTATGTATCAAGTTCTGCGACATTGATGTCGTCAGAACAATCACATTTGGACGTATTTCTACCAAACAGACCTATGTGGAGGTGAGAAATATGGGGTGTGCTCGTCGAAGCTGCATAAGAAGCAATGTAAAAGTGGGCGTGATTCCTTTTGAAGAATTGGAAAAGCGGGATATTACATTCTATCAAACAGACCTATGTGCCAACTGAATGCGGCAGTCATGAGCCGCGGACATGGCAAGAGAGCGTTGTGGACAGGGTTCATGAGTTAAAGCCGACCGAGGAGAGCCCGGCACTGCCGCAAGGGCGGCTTCGTCGCCGCTGACGTCACTGGCGCTTTATATTTCCCATTCACTCTTACGCAGAGAGAACTAACGAGCACACCCCATATTTCTCACTTGCACATAGGTCTGTTTGGTAGAAATACGTCCATTTCAGACTAAGAATGCAAGAAAAACGAGTTTCCATCATTGGCGATATTTTTTATAAGGGCCGGATTTACTTACTTGCCGCCCATGGGCCGCCTGTATTTTGCCGCCCCCTTCTCATTCGTTAAGAAATGTCAATAAAAACAATCAAATGAACGTGCCAGCGGGAGAGGGGTGCATAAGACGCGTTTCCTCGTGTTGAGCACATTTTTTGGGAAAGCCCTGTCAACACCACCAGCAAAAGTTCACGGAACTTTGCGCAAAAGTTTGGTTTCGTAAACCTATCTCTGTGTGGACAAGGCCTTCTAATTATAAGAAATGAACGGAAAAATTATGAAAGAACAAACATAAATGTGGATTAATGATTTTGGCTTCCGCCGCCGCGCCGCGCAGACCGCACCGTGTTTGCGCAATGCGTGAGGTATTCCGACAGTCTTGTAGGCGCTATGAGTTTCACGCCGACGCGACCGCTGCTGAACGCAACGTGTTTGACGCAATGCGTGAAGTATTCACGCAGTCTTGTAGGGGCTAATATGTGCTACATGCCAATTGCCGCGCCGAGGGCTTCTCCTTTTCATCTCAAGTCCTAGTTATCGTTTCTCTCTAAGTCGCACCGTTCCAGGCCAAATTGCGTGTTTGGTTTTTCTCTTAACTCGACTAATTGAAGGTGCTATCTCTTGTATCACTGAAGGACGACAAAAGTAGAAATTACAATACTCTTTGAAATTTAGAGAGTCTGTCGCCTTTTCTCGTTTGTAATTTTTTTTCGAAATCCGATTTTTTTTATACCTACATTTAAAAAAATTGCAAAATTTGCCGCCCCCTATAGATTTGCCGCCATGGGCTGCGGCCCATGTGGCCATCCCCTTAATCCGGCCCTGAGTGAAAAATTTGAATTTCCGGAAAATTAAGGGATGATGAGGAAACTAGGATTAGTTTCGACTTAATGGTAAAATGTATGCGAGTTAGATCTCTGGCGAATTGACAAAAAAATTGCGTCCTTTCACTTAAACGCAAAACAACCGGATATTTTGAACATACAGCTAGTGGCTATGGAGTTATGGACAGATTATTGGGTTATTTGACCGGAGGAACACTTTCAGAATGAGTATTTCAGTCCGAATAGTAAGTTGGAAGAATACTTGAAATATATCAGCTGGATTTCTAGGTAAGTAATAAAAACTGATCCAGATTTTCACCCGTACAGCTTCAGTTCCCGAAATATTCATTTTCCCCAGATAATCTAGTTTTTCCTCGTGGAAAATCGATTCTCTGAGAAACTCGAACGCGATGGGGTGAATGTAGTACTCCTTTGAACCTAGCATTAAAAAGATACCTAAAGAATCACCAATCATGTGTCTTGCACCCTTACACTTGTGTGAGACATAGGTACCCTCGTTAAACACAAAGCATATTGAAATCTATTATGCATAACCCATGGACATAGGATCAGCAACGCGCAAAAAGGAACTAACTTCTCTTGTTTATTCATAAAAGCAATCACTTTTCTGCATAAGACAATCAGTAGAAGATATGTTGTTGCTGAGATAAGCCTAAACTTGCGTTTCATTCGACGTGAAACTGTTACATTTTCATGGCTGTGTGTTTTATGAATAAAAAGTGTGAAACCTGGCCGAAATGAAGCTTTCGCCTAAGGAAGACTGCTCTTGACAAAAATATTAGTTCGGATTTCATCGGATTTGGCAAGATAGCATGTTGATAAGACATGCACATGACAGAAATTTACTGTCAGGTAAATTTCCATGCCCCATAGGATTTCGTCATAACCAAGTGCTGATTTCAAAATCGCGAACCCTTTGGCACACCTGATTCGTAGTTTCTGGACGGTAGAACGTAACGACATTTCAATTTTCAACATTACAAAATTTCCACCCGCAAACGGGATTCTTCTCTGGAAACTATTAAAAGTTAATGATTGAAGTCTCCTTAAATTCCTCCGATGTCACGCAAAAATCATCAGCATTTCGGACGGAGAGTGCAAAGTCGTACTCTTGTAAAAAAAAATATATATTTTTTTTTTTTGTGTGAATTTGCAAACTTCAAAAAAAAAGTTCGGTTACGGATACTGAACCTCTAAGCATGTTGAACACCACTTTTTTTTTTAATTCAGGTAGCTCAACTTCCCAGTCATATCGAACCAAATTCCGGTTAGCTGAACCGTATTTCGATCCCAGTAACCGAAAATTACGGTTACCGGAACCAAAAAACTTAGGTGTAGATAAGGTCCAGATTTTTTTTCTGCATGATAAAAATGGAATTAGATTCCTTCGTCCGAATGTCAACAAATTGAAAAAAATCACGAAAAAGGAACTTACGATAATCAGCGAAAAGGCTCGAAGAAAATATCCCAGCAAAGGGTCAAATCCAACAATCACTAGACAACAACACTAAAACATTGTTTTTGATAACATGATACTCTGCGAACACATCCATGATATCCTCCAGAGTTCCGAAAGAAACAACAACACAAGCGCACTGCACTATCACCATCCGGCCCGCAGGACCAATGCGGTCCACCCCGCGGTGATCATCTTCCACGGCGGAAAAGCCACGACGATAACGCGACGCGCGGCAACGAAAGGCATCAAACGACTGTAAAACTTTCAATCGGTGCACGGAGTGTTTCACAAGGCACTCTTGGAGCGCCGCTGCTCCCCCTCCCCCCCTCTCCCACCACTTTCATTCAGGCATCAGCGCCGGCTTCGAGTGCCTGCGCTCCCAGCCCCCGCCCCCCTGGTCCCCCGTCGGCGGTCGACGGCCGGGCCGGTGCTTACCGCCGGCCTCGGCACTCCGTTGTCAGACCCCCCCGGTTTACCGTGGAGTCGCACGGGATCGCTGGGGGTTTCCACAGCGAGCTGACAGCGGCGGCCCCCTCAATGTTGTCATTCGGTGCGGGATTTTTTCAATTTTTGCGGAGTCTGTTGAGGTTGGGTGAAAATTTTATGAATTTTGATGATATTTCTTGCAAATTTTGTTACGTTGGCCGGAGTTTGATAAACATTTGGACGAGTTTGACGGAGTTGATCTCAATTTGATGAAGTTCGGCCTTTGGTGCGCCGTTTGCGTTAGCCCGAGTTTGGGAGGCATTTGATCGAGTTTGACAGAGTTGGGCTCAATTTGATGAAGTTTGGCGGGGTTGGATGGTGATTTGGTGGAAAATTATGGGATTTAATGAGTTGAAAAAGTTGGTCAGGGTGCGCCTAAAATTTGATCAAGTTTGACGAAGTGGGATCTCGATTTATAGAATTTTGACGAAGTCTGATGGTAATTTGGTCAAAATTGACGGAATTGATGACTTCGTAAGGTTTCCCATGGACATGATACAAATTTGATCGAGTTTGTCGAAGTTGGAGCAAAATTTGATGATGGTTGGCGAAATTTGATGCCAATGGTCTGAAGAAACGGAATTTGACGGCTCGGTGAAATTGGCCAGGGTTTCATACTCGTTACCTATTTATCGAGTTTGACGCAGCTGGGGGTGAACTCGACCAAGTTTGACGGAGTATGTTGTGACTTCAGACGACGCTGACGAGGTTTGATGGCATAAAGAGATATCAATTTTGATGGAAATTTGATCAACTTCGAGTGTTAAAATTTATACTGAAAAGTGTAGTTCTGCATGACATTGCATTTTGCTCAGTCGATAATTGGAAACCAGCTCTGCTTACTCGAGATGATATGTTTTTCGAAAAATTTTGCTCGCCGTGTTTGTACGGCACAGATTCCACTCATGCACCACCGCCCCGAATCATATTCAGGCCGCAAAGTTCCAGGTCATATCTTCACTTACTATTTTTTTCCAGATGAACCGAAATTTGAATTTTTCCTTCTAAAAAAATATAATTAAAAAGTTATGTTGCAACACTGGGCTGCCTGCGGAGCGGTGAACCGGCGCGACGAACCGCGGTGTTGGAGTGCCGGTGCCGGAATTGCCAGGTGGCGTAGGATATTACCGTTACCTCGTTCGCGCGCCGCGTGAAAAACGCAGACTTACCCTCGGAGGTGGCATCGTGGTGGTTTGAGGTCTTCCATAGTCCACGAGTCAACGAGGAGCCGTGGGAAATGCACTGAGCATCCTCGTGCCGATATGACGTCACGCGTGCAAACTAACGAGTCGGCGCCGCAGACGTTGGGCACAATTTCGATGCACTTTTGATCGGAGCCTCCCATACTACCGTGTGATAGCGAAGAGAGCCGTAGGTGGTTGCTGGAATGAACCTCGAGACACTCGAAAGCATGTGCTAACCATGGCTCATGCAGAAATGCACCTACTGCTCTCTTCGCTACATTGAAAAAAAAATTCTCTGCGTTTTTACCAAGGTCCGTTGGTACCTTTACCATCTCACTTTTTTTTACCGATTATTGGTAATTTTACCAAGACAGACTGGTAAGCTTACTTAAAAACCGGTATTTTGACTGTTTTTTCCAGGTAAGAATACCACTTTTATTGGTAATCAATTCCCGGTAACTTTGCCATTTTATCTCGGTAATTCTACCACAGTCGATAAAAAATATTGGTGTTTTTACCAAGGTCCAGTAAAATTACCGAGAAAGTTCAATAATTTTACCGAGATTTCTCGGCAAAATTACCAATTCCACAAAAATGGTAATTTCACCAAGAAAAAACTGGGATCAAATAGAACCCTGAATTCTTGGTAATTTTACCCTTTTCCTAGTAAATACACCGATATTTTTTTTTTCAGTGTATCACGGCAGCATACTACCAGCCTCACTTGACTCCTGATCGGCTGAACCAGAAACCCATGAGCGTGGCCCCTAGTACAGCTGTCCCTAAGCGGGACTTCCATTGTCCATTGCAACCACTTGCTTCCATCAATAAAATCGCTCTATTTCCTACATTATCCAGTCTTCTTTATCTATAGCTTTGTCTATCAGCTTCGGTAATCAGCCCGCAGACGTAGAACTGAATAGCTAGTAAAAGTCAAGGATATTCAATATGACGTCTATTCCTGCGTAAAAGTTCTGAAGAGATCCGATAGTGCCACTGGTTTTCTATGAAAGAAACTGGTAAGCTCAAGGAGAGCTTTTAAAGTTGAGGTTATAATTGTTGATGAGCCTAATTGTTGAATTGAAACAGATGGTCCCAATAGAGATCATGAGGTCTCTCGCGGGTTGCCGTCTTTCGCGGGCCTTTTACTTACGTCCTTTGCCCATTGCAACAACCCGCTCTCACCAAAAAGATCGCAACGTTTCCTCTTTGCCTTTTTTGTCTACCCTGGTAAAAATTTGCGATAGGAGCTGCGTTTCAAAATACCATAGGAGTTCTTATAGCCGACTAAAGAAGGCTATAGAAAATCATATAGCTGGTTGTAGAAAGCGGAGCAAATCATACAGCTTCGCTATACGAAGCTATGAAAAAGTATATAGTCGGGCTATAGTTTCTATCGCCGGGCTTTACACTTGATCACCATTGGCTATAAAAGACCATAAGAAATTGTGTAAAACTTCGTCTGCTTTGGAAATCATTAAGTTTTTTACGAAACTGCCTTAATGTTTACAAAACACACATTTTTTTTCATCAATTAAAATGAGAATAATCTATACAGAGTGTGCAAACATTTCAGAATCATGAGTTGAAAAACGCTAACTCCCCCAGATTAAATATTAGAGCCTAACACAAAGCGCAGCGGCGACGCGCTGGCCCCTACAAACCTAACAGGGATACTTCACGCATTGCGCAATGCGTGAAGTATCACTGTTAGGTTTGAAGGCGCCAAAGCGCGTTTCGCGCTCTCTGCCCGCCCGCCGCGCCGCAGCGTGCCACGGCGTCTGAAGCAACTATTTCACACCAGAGGTATTGCACAGTATCATAAGAAATTGAAGACGCTCCATGTTTAGCATAAAGTTTATCGTCTGGCTGCTGCTTAATCGCCATCAGCTGTAAAAGGCTATAAGAAATTGTACAGCCGGCTTTAGAAGTTATTGGAAATCTTACAGCCGGCTTCAGGTCTATGGTATTTTGGAACACAGATTCTACTGCCAATTTTTACCAGGGTATAGCTTTGTCTATCAATTTCAGGAATCAGCCCGCAGATGAAGAACTGAATAGATAGATCTGAACTAGAGAGTCTACATTAACTCTATAAATACGCCATGAGTATGTGCCTTTTCGCCACCAACTTGTGGATGCGCTGCTGTGCGCAAATTGCTCGGGCAAATAAAAGAAGCCGAGACACCTTCAATTTCTCGTTTATGCAGCACGGACATCCCCTGAGCACGTATAGTTGTATCAAAGCGTTACTGATGTCCGTTGCTGCGAGGCTGCGACGGACGTCGTGTTCGTTGACAGACCTACCAGGGTCGCTGGACAGTTGAAGACGCTTTATCATATCATTCTCTATCTTCTGGCGAATGGTGGAAATCTTAATGTTATTATTGTTTAATTTTAATTATTAGAAATTGCCAAGCGTATATCGCGATCATCTCACAGGAATATGAGCCCTGAGACAAAGTGACCCATTGGCCTCATAGCGACGGATGGAAACTTTATACCTTCGGAGATTCAACACTTCCTTATGGACAATAATTATGAGAGGGCCAAAATCATTACCCTTTCTTCGGCTGTTGACCTACCTACAAGGCGGGTGGTGAACTTCGGGTGATGTAACGCAGGGTTGGACTGGCTTGCATCTGAGAACGTTGACCCTTGGCTGGTTACAGGGGCGTAATGTGATATTTCCTGGTAGGGCATCCCCTATGTGGAGAGGGGTTCGGAAAATTTGGGCAAAGCAGCACAAGTTTACGCCATTTTCAGGTTCCAAGTTTATTAATCATACAGATTAAAAATTGCAAAATTGAACGTATTGAGGTAACCGACAGACTTCTGAAATTAAAGAAAACATAAAAAATTAAAGCCACAAGACGCATCCAAGCATTATTTCCAAAAGAATCGATGCCAGTGCCGCGGTTTACACGAGCCTAAGACGTGGGTCTGCAAATCCATCCTAAAAAAGAATCAGACAAGAAACTGAAAAAAGAAGAAAGAACGAGTATCAACACAGATGAAGACAGGAAAGACGTATTCGGGCTTCTTTTTTAACTTTTCTCCCAAATTTGAGCAACACCTCATTGACAGCATATAGCAGAGCATTGAGAGCTTACGCTTCGCGTCATCGCGCCTTCAATTTTTCAGATACAGCACAGACGTCCATCAAGTACGAATAGTTGTATCTCTGCGCCGTCGTAAACGCGCATCCTTTCCCTCGCTTTATTTAATGCACATGCAATGTGGACATCCATCTTGCGCGAATAGTTGTATCGCGTCTATACACTTTAGATGTCTCTTATTTTTGAATTTCGAGATAAATTAAGGTTAAGTTTTCCTGAGATATGCTATGGTACGTCCGAAGAAATAGTTCTTTTGAAAAGGAAGAAATGTATTTAAAAGTCTCTCAAGAGATCTATAAAGGGTGCGTATGTCTAAAAATCAAACCGACCATCGCTTCTATCTAAGAGAGTTACACATAGCGAATGAAAGAGGGGGATGATAAAGCGCCTGTATGTCAATCAACAAAAAGGTGAAAATTTTACAGAAAAGTGTTTACGTTTCAGAAAGTAGATCTTGGACCTCTGTTCACCACTATCATGCGCAACAGCACCTTTCTTACAGCCTAACTCTCTCTTCTCCCGTACATTTAAGACATGTTTCGCATCTATTCTCGGTCGTGATTTTTTTCTCCTCGTATTTTGGTAGCTGTCAAAGGGGCGCGTTTTCGGCGCGCCAAGAGGACGTATCTACCAATGGCAAATGACCTTATAGCCAGTCCGAGACTGATGTAACCAGCCGAATAAGTTTGCCGAACTTCGATTTGTTTGCGAAACGAATTATTAAACGCGTTGCTCAACATCCACCTATAGGTGAGTCGACGGTTGAATGTTGAAGTCCCGAAAGTAAAAGCTTCCACCATTGCTAAGATAGCGATGGAGAGTCTCTTGTCTTTGTATATGAAACAACAGAGGACAGTATGCCTTAAGGTGGGAGGGGGGTGGAATAACCATAACAAAGCCTGGAAAGGTTACTCCTGCATAATTTGGCTCAAGAAACGCCAGAAAATTCCAGTAATTGAACTTGCGCCGGAAATTTCAAGCCGGAAAAACGAGAAATTTGAGAAAACCTCTGTTAAAATTTGCCTGCACTGTTGACAGTCTTAGAAATAATTCACTTAAATTGCTTAAAAACTCATTAATAGTACAAATTGTGGTTTGAAACTTGAACTCGATGGTCTCGAGAAGATCACACAGTGGCTAGCATCGAATCCTGAAAGGATATTTTACCCGAAATCGGTTTCTTTTTACTGTGCTGAAAGATTTGAGTTCCCACCTTAAGGCACATTTTTTCCTGTTGCACCATATATCATCAACCTCAGGACGTATGAGGGGGTAAGTACTCGGTCATTGTAAAAAAAGAGTCCAAACAACAATATAGATTTTGATGGAACCACGTATCTTGTTTAACGTGTTTAAAAATATCCGTTCCTATTATATTTTATAAATGAGAAAAAAATCAACATCGTCTTTAAAAGTTCTCTCAAAATTTGCCTCTCACTGGGAGGAAAAATCATTGATTTTAAAAAATTTACGTTGAGTAGTTTTCCATTTAAAAAATGAAGTATGATAGAAAGCCTGCAACGTCGCAAACTGAGATACGTGGTTCGGGAATTATATCGACATTCATCGAATGATAATTCTCATGTTGCTTGTGCAGACAAAAATAGCCAAAACGCCTTCAATTTTTTGTATATGCAACATAGACATCCACTAAGTACGAATAGTTGTATCAATGCAGCAATTGAATTCTCTGTAAGTTATAGACAATTAATTCATGGAGACGCCTAAGTCTCGGTTGAGGCGTTTCAAGGGTTCCACGACAAATCTAACACTTTTTGAAAAAGGTAATTAGAAAGAATATTATGACATTCGATCAATAACTATGATCGCGGCTATAGTTCAAAATAGTAAAATAAAGACAGGTAATCTGCAAATTCTCAAACCGAGGTTCTCTGTCCACTAATTTCACCAGAAGTTTGTCTGTGAGTCATATTTAATTATTAAAAATTCTATACACTGGCAGACATTTTTATGGAGCTCATGAGAGCTCCCTCGTGGGGGCCTAAATTTCATTTCTTCAGAAATGCGTGACGTACCAACTTTTAACATATGACACTCCTGATTTACTTTTTGCCTCTGAAAATTACGACCTATGCATACGAAATATAACGAATATAAGACGAATATAAGTATTTTATTCATGATTTGAAATTATTTTCTTCATTATATCTCCAAACATTATGACTTAAGTATGGATGAACAAGTATTTTAAGGAGCAAAAATAGTAACTTTAAGGCCTTGTCTCCACGGGACGTTTTCATTGGATTTATCCCAAGTTCGAATCGCAGGAATGAAACTTCTAGGATTTTACCCAGTTACCGTCTCCACGGGACGGGGCTCATACAGTCCTGCGACTAGTTTGCGCGGGAAGATAAAGTAGTTTAAGTCGGGTATTTAACCGGAATTATAATAATAAATGCACTCAATTGACAATTAGACACATTATTTTAACTAAACAAACATTAACAATGTAGTAATGAATAAAATATCGCACAATTCGTTTTCACTTCTTCTTCTTCTCTCAGTGGATCCTAGGGGTACAAGTACCATACTTGGTACTGGAAAAAATATTGATTAACTCAATATTTTTCCCAACTTCGTAAGCGGGATTTTTCCCTGGGACAAATCTCGTGAAACGGCTCGTGGAGACAAGGCCTAAAAAGACTCATCTAGCGATGCCACCGATTGCTCAAATTTCCTGGTATTCAAATATTTTGCAAAATCATACTATGTTGAATTGAATCTCTTCCGGGTTTAGCCGCCGCGCCGGCCGCTGCAGTTGAACAAAGGAGGACTCGAAAGTGTTGAATGCAATAATGATCTAGAGGTTTTCATGAGAAACCAACATGCGCCTTCAATTGAGATTGATACCAAATTATTAACTCCTATGTAAAATTCAACAACGCAGACAAAAGAGAGGAAAACGGACACTGTTATACACTCTGAGTTGTCGAGTGCGGTATGGAAGCTTCATTCCTTTCCTGTAGAGAGGAAAAAATGGCGGAGAAATGTATCCCTCCCCACAATTTAGTTCGATAAATCGGACGCGCGCGCGTTAATTCAGTTATTAATTCAGTTCGAGTTAATTCAATCAATTCATCGATTGAATTAACTCGAGTATGCTCGATATAAAACTGGTACTAGTTTTTAGGTCTGGGCTCCACGATTTCTATCAACTATTTCCTCGCCCCCCTCCCCCTTACGACCAGAAAAATAATTTGTAATAGTATGAAAACTAATAAGGTTAGACTAAAGATAAAGAAAATAAATGCTCATCACATGCAATAAAATCGAAATTTTATTGTAATTTATCACGATTTTATTTATCGATAATATTGCGATAAATCGCCCTACACAAAATCGGGATGTATTTGTATTCTCCGATCAAATCACAACTTATCGTCATCACTGCTACTTGGGGTAATTTACAGAATTACTATGTTACCACTATACCTACGGCTTTAATGGTGCGCGATCAAACATCAGTCATTTCGATAAATTCAATGATGAATCAATATGCAGCTTAATGCCTTGCCTTATGCAATAGTAACTAACTATCAATGTCGCTATCGCTTACTCCTCTAGATTCCGATCTGATAGCCTATAGTGTAAGTTTACTTTGAAAGCCTTCATCGAGCATTTAAATGATCGGTCCTCGTGTGAATGAAACATACTGTAGTCTGCTCCTTTCAGTGAAACGAGAATAATATTCGCACGTATGCTTTCCGAATCCACAATGTTGTTATTACTTTTCACGATCTTGTCATCACTTTTCACAATCTTGTCAGCAAAAGTTCTAAAGTTAGAAATACCACACGAGCCCAATTTTCTTGCCGAAAAACTGAAAAAATTAGATAAATTTTGAAAATAGATAAAATTAGATAAATTAGAAAATTAGGATACTGTAGTCTGCACCTTCAAGTGAAACGAGAATAATATTCGCACGTATGCTTTCCGAATCCACAATGTTGTTATTACTTTTCACGATCTTGTCATCATTTTTCACAATCTTGTCAGCAAAAGCTCTAAAGTTAGAAATACCTTACGAGCCAAATTTTCCTGCCGAGAAACTGAAAAAATTAGAGGAATACAAACTTTTGCCGGATTTATTGTCCAGGCCACCACATCTAGAAGCACAGGTAAATCCCCACCGTGTTTGACAAAAACTTCGTTTCGAAAACAAATATTGTACTCTCATTACTTGATCCAAGAATTTAAAAACATGAACCGTCAATGGCAAAGGCTTTAAATACAAGTTTGAGATGAGTGTGCATGCAATGATTGAAGAGCAGTAGGGCCTTAATAGCATTCAAAGTTTCGCCTGACAGCCCATTTTTTTCATTTTTTAACGGATGTACCTACGTTTCATACGTAGAACTATTTGGGTGATTTTTTTCAAATTAAAAAACCGTAAAATTCTGAAATCCCCAAAGAAAAGCAACCCTTCTCGGCAAAATGAAAACATTGTCAAACTAATTCCCTCCATTTTACCATGTCTTGATCATTTGATAATTTTCAAATATGTACTAGTATATGTTTTTTACTATCGTCCTGTAGATAACATTCCACGATGGATCAGTTGCAGACTTTGGCAATGTAGTCTCGCAGCAACAGATGCTGAAGGCACCAAATATCTCTTGGGCTGCAAAGGTAGACACTGAGCACACGGTGGTAATCATGGGTAAACTTTTAATCGTATATCCGGCGTAATTCAAATATCCAGGGCTAGTCCTTTCTTGCTTGGTCTTCTAACAGTAGAAATTTAAATCTATGTGAGAATATTCATGTTCGCATTAAACGTGTCAAACCTTTTTGGCCTATCGTAGTGAACGTCAATTTCTTGAACGAAACTCCTCAGAGTCACCCAAATGAAGGAATCTACATTTTAGGATTAGAGTGAACATTCAGGCCATTTTTGTAAATGATCGGAAGTGATCAACATCCTTGAGCAAGAACAATGCTTTCCAAGTTTTCCTCGTGTTATTTAGTTGCCTATACTTTTTTACCGATTGTATAAGCGGATCAAGGAGCGTACGCCCCCCCCCCCCCCCCCCCCCGCTAGGGGGCGTATGTTCCTCCCCCCCCCGTTCGCCCGAAAAAAAGAGCAAGAAGGAAAAAAAGGAAAAGAACGGAGGGAGGAGGAAGGAATTTGAGTAATAAGACGCCTACATTTGGTAATTATTCATGACGACTCATACTCCATGTTAAAAGCTTTAAAAATCCAAACACTTTCTGGGGGGCCGGACCCCCTTACGTCCTCGAAAATTGGGACCTCCGATGGCTTAGGTCATCTAAAAATTTTCATTTTATAATTTTTTATTCTACAGACTTAGATCACCATATTGACGGGGTGAAAAATACATCGAATGCATCTGAAATTCACTATGCATACTGGGTTATAGGAAATGTGCCGACTTCATCGATAGAGAAAGGTTATGAAATCGTACCGTACGAGGCTCCGCGAATAGATCACGCCGGGCAAAAAGGTAAACCTGATTATTATATAGAACAAAATTTGCGTCGTGGAAAAAGTTATGATCCTTACTTAATTTTGAGGAGCTTTCTATTTCATCATGAATTAGTTCAGTCTCTCTGTTATTACCTGGTTTTAAACGTTTACCATTATGTCAGCACCCCAGAGCCGATAAGTACCTAACTCTATTTAAGTCTTTTCGAGACATCGAGGGAAAACCGCGCGTCGGCCCCATTGATTCCAATGTAAATCGTAATAGACCACTAGACAGGGTACGAATTTCAGCATTCTGATGCATGTTTCTTGAACAAAATTTCACGTAAAACACGGCGCGCACAACGAAAATTACCGAAATTACCTCCTTACGAAGATATTTAATGATTCTTGATGCGTAAATTCAAACCACCTGCTTATGAAAACTCAACGCTCTACGTGATTCACATCGCGCGCTAAACGTTATCATGACAGTCTCTGCTATAATAAAATCTGGCAACCTCAATTTTGACGCTTTGGCTCAGCTATAGCAAATTGCTTATAGTTTGAACAACAAATGGTGGGAAATGAACATTGCTCGATTGAGAAGATTGCTGAAACCGTTGTAGTGCACGGTTTGACTCACGTAGAGCTTTGAGTTTCTTGTGAGCGGGCAGTTCAAATTCCTCGTAACCAATGTGAAGTAAAAACGTTAATATCTTCGTTAGGAGTTCGTTTCAGTAATATTCGTTGCATTAATCGTGTTCTACGTAAAATTCTGGTTAAGAAACATGTATCAGATTGCTTAAATTCGCACCTTGTCTAGTGGTCCATTGTAGATACTCCGTATATTATAATCGGTGTAAGATACTAACTTTTCCACACTCACGGAACCGTTACTGGAGATTTGAAAAAGCCACTGACACGATTTTCCCAAAAATGTGAGTTACGCACCTATTGGCTCCGGGATACTGAAATTTTCAAGAGTATTATTAAATTGAGTAAACTGTAACATTAGCAAGAGAGTTATCCTATGCATGTCGCAACGTATCATGTGACCTTTTTGAGAGGTAATCGAATAACCGAATGCTAATAAATGTCAAAACATGGTCTGAAACTTTCATATTTTTTTTCCTTTACTTAATATTCAAAGGTATAATCTCATATGAAAAATGACAACTTGCTGATTATTGCCACGTTCGTTTTTCAGAATTGCATAGAATTTGCTTCCTGGTTTACTTTCAATATGATGGTTCTCGAGACTTCTACACGCCCGACACGGTTGAGAAGTGAGTACTATCCATGATTAGATTTCAATCCAGTTTTATCATCAGCCGGGTAATAGTTCAGTGCTTATTACTTACTAAGTTTATTGACGTGGTATTTTTCAAAAATTCATCATTTTTGGATCGAAGAAGAGACCCAACAATAGACGGCCAACATACTTTTAACATGCAAAACAACCTCAAAACTGAGCAAAAATTTGTAGATGTGGATCATGATGAGTGAAACTTGTCTCATAGAAATTTCCCATAGGCATTTTACAATTTTAACTAATTTTAGGACCAGTGAAAAGGGTAATCTGCCTTTTGAAGTAGGATTAGCTGTCAGCTAATGAAGGGTAAGTCGGTGCAAACGCGATCTATATTTATATCCTTTGTTGAATTTTGCCGTTCGTAATAATCATCTATAAGAGCATACTAGTGACCATTAATTAAATATTCTTACTATTCATAAAATTTAAAAATAGATGAACGATTAAAACATAGTTGCATTTCAGGCAGAAGGACTATCGAATGTGGTTTAACATACATAATCTGACAGATAAGTACATAGTGATAGGACCAATTGCTATGAATTTTGTTCGAGCACCCGTACAAGTCCCAAAGCTCAATGGACCGATCAAAGAGACCTGGACTTGAGTTTTAGCACTTTCGAAAGCCGCACCTACGCGTGATTTGGATTTTCATGCTATGAAAGCAGTAAGTTTTAGTTTTGACCGAAAATTAACTGCAATCTGAGATTTATTAACTCTCTGAAAATTACATAATTGTTTCCAGAACTTGTAACTGTAACATAAGGTGTGACAAACGACACATTGATGCTAGATCAGAGATCACGGTGGTCTTGAAGCAAAAAAAAAAATGCGACAAAAATGTGCCCAAAACAGTTCGCGTTTTTTACTGTTGGATTTTAGCCTTGTTTCCCGTTTCGTCCCCTTGTGTTCTATTCCATTGTATTGGGCTGTACCATAAAAATTCGTATCCATGCAAAAATCCATTGCAACCATCCATGCAAGAGTAAGGTATTTATTCGAGTGACTTGAATGGAAAGAAAAATAAAAACGTGAATCGATCGACGTGAACCAATCCACACCGATTCAATGGACAAATAAATTAAATACCTAATCAAAATTAGTAGAAAACTTGTATTTACCCAAGATTTTTACGTTTCGCAATTTTAAGTCTACGCGTGCCCAAGATTCACCCCCTGAAAACCGTTTTTGGGCACATTCTTGTCGGACTTTTTTTTTGGTTTCAAGACCACTGTTAGATAGTACCTATTTGCTAGCTGGTTCACTTACTATGGATTTGGTTCTTACGATACTCCCCAAGCGTATCAGGATTACAAATGGACTAAATTTTCAAAAGCTCCTTTTAAGAGGTTTCCAAGTGATTAGTCGCCTTCAATTACGCACGTACGCAACATTGATGACAAGAGCTTACCCCTTCTCACTATTTTATACAGGGTCGCCGAAAAAAACTCTGAATAAATTTCACTATTCATTTTATTGATATATCACATCGTCACGTTCGCGAAAAGCAATTAGGTTGCGAAAGGTTCATGAGTTTAATAATTTGGCGATTCAGTTCATGCGATTTATTCTGTTTTTCGACCATATTTTGTATAAATTTTAGCTGCCCCATCAATAAACGGTTCATGGCAGTCTCCAAAAGTCCGTCGTGATTTCTGAGCACTGAAAGAGAGAAAAATGTCGCATCAGAAAATAATAAGAAACGAAATTCCAGATATATTTTCATGATTTAAATGTGTTACTTGCCGTGTCTTTTGTATACCTCTAAAATCAGGACTTTGTTATTTTTAAGTTCACAGAATAATCCAAATCTTGCTTCAAACAATTGGAGCACCTCATGTAATGTTTATGGCTTGCACACGTATTGAAGGCGCTTTCTATGAAGAGGATCACTTAAATCACATCTTTGAAACTTGTCCACAGTCGAAAGCTATCACTGCTTATGACAGGCTGGTTTATGATTGATCAAGTAAATGAATCCTAAAGACGTTTAATGAGTAAGAATGTAATTCAATTAATGCGTGAAATTCCTCTTTGCAATCCTTCCTTCCTAAGCGCTGGTACTACTTACTCACTCTTCTGGCAAAGACTGACAGATTTCACCCTCCAGATCCTAATCGTCTACTTTAAAATTTTACAATGAGGCTAGTAATAACGCCGCTTAGACTTACCCAGGGAATTCATTGAGTTCCGAAAGCAACCTCTATTTTTCGCACAACAGTTGCAAATATTTTCCGCGGAAGTTTTGAATTTCTCCTCAAAAAGCGACTCGTGCGAGGTCTCAAATCGAGGTGGCTCATCAAAACTTACAACTTTCGGACTAGTCTGCGTATTTACACTCTTCAAATTTTTGAAATCCTTCTCTCCGCCGGGAATATTCACGAGGCATGTGAAATCTTGTTTAGACTTCACGTTGTCTCCGATTTTATTCCGATTCTTAATTTCAGACTCGGAACTTATATCATTTCTTATCCTTTCTATGTGAGGTCTGCGTTTCACCTCCCCTCTCTTTCCTTCGCATGATTCTATCGCAATCATCGAAGGTTTGTTGTTAGTGATTACACTGGCTGCTGATTTTACAAATCGCGATTTTAATCTCTCTATTCCTCCATTTCTCTGAGGATCAGTAATATTATTCAAATTCTCAGATGTAAGATTTTTGGAACTTCGCTTGATTTTATGCTTTCGGCGTTTCCTGGTTATCAGATTCTCAGCAACTTTAAAATTTTCATCATCCGGGGAAATCCTCTTAAAATTTTGGGCCCCAGAAACATGTTTGATGCGTTCCTTTTGGGACTTTTCACCGTCTTTAAGAGATGACGTAATATTTTTTTTTCTCTCACTGGACTTATATTCCGGAGAGTCTTGAGGCTTCCGGTCCAAATCACTTTTTACAACCGATGAGTCAGATCCGGAATTTTCTTTCAAAAATTCAGCTTTTACACCTGCTTCCCGTAACTTGGGCTTAGATTCCGGAGAAACGTGGAGCTTCCGGCCGAAATCACTTTTCACAACCGACGAGTCTGATCCGGAATTGGCTCTTTTCAAAAATTCAGCTTTTATACCTTCTCTCCGGTCCTTGGGCTTAGATTCCGGAGAAACGTGGGGCTGCCGGTTCAAATCACTTTTTACAACCGACGAGTCAGATCCGGAAGTTTCAATTTTCAAAAAATCAGCTTTTGAACCTCCTCTCCTTTCTTTATTTTTCGATGAATGCCCAACCTCTTTCCAAGAGCGAAATTTTAACTGAGTAGAATCCGATTGCTTCCGGCTAAAGCTCTCAGAAGATTGTTCAACAAGCAGGCCAGATATCGACTGATGTGACTGCTCCTCAACATTTTGGGACACTTGGTCATGCGTTTGTGTTTGCTCAAGCTCACTAACATTCTCGATCGTTGCATCCGATACCTTATGATTTATCGATTTCAATCGTTTGTCCAGCCGCTCGGAATCTTGTTTTCGGTCAACGTCACTCAGAATTTCGAACTCAGATGAGTAATCGTAATTAGTGGCTGCTGATGGCGAACCTTTTTTATTCGCACCACGTTTAGGCTCCGATTTGATCTCAGACGCCGCCGATAAGATGCCGTCCGAAAGAGCGGTGGATATATCCTCGGGGATATCACTCACCGGTGACATTAACTCCTCGATGATATCACTTTCTGTATTGAAGCCATTCATTTTCGTCCCCTCTTTCGAGACAGATCCGTTACTGTTGCTGAAAGCTTTAATGTCACTATTTAAAGACACCAGGGAGCTTTCTTTGCTTGATTTGTCGCGGTGACCGTTCTGAAAAAAACTTGCCGCCGACGCAATCTTATCACCGCGTTTATTTTTGCCTGAGGCTCCGGAGCCACTGCTATCGTCAGGCAAGTCATCGAGGGTTATCAGGCGTATATTTCCCAAAACATCGAAAGTGTTGGATTGGTTTGTATGGGGCCTAGGCTTTTTTAATATTTCGGTGAAGTCAACATGGTTGAAATTACCTGCGTTACCATTCGACCGATTTTCTGGCTGGTATTTGATTTTTGGTGTTTCTATTTCTTCAAAAAATTCATTATTTATAAGATTATCCTCGTGACCGTTTACTACAACTGGCTCAATTTCCGGTTTCATCTTGCTAAAATCGGGGTGTTTGGGCTCGATTGCCTCATTTTCTTCCTGAAGGAATTTAACCACATTGCCATTTGTTTCACTTTCGACGTGTGATTTTGCCTCGGGAAATTTCGAATCATAAGATATTGAGTCATCGGAAGTACTGCTAATGCTTACGCTCTTTTGCTTATTTTTTATGTATTTATTTTCGAAGTCTTGGAGTTTTAAATTGATTCTGTTTAGCTTCAACATGTTTATCTACTTACAATTTAGCCAAAAATTATTGTACCTTCACGATGCGTTTAAAAATGTTCGATCTTTGAGGAGGAATATTAGGTACCATTGAGTGTGGTTAGGATTCTCCACATAAACGCATGTCTGTTAATATCCGCTGGCTGAGTTTCGCAGCCGACGATTCTAATCTGGAACAATTAAAGCGTTAAGTTTGCAAGCTCGTAGATTATTTGGTTATCATTTAAACATTCGATTTTAATGTAACTTACAATTAATCCAATTTTTTTAAAAAGAAAAAAATTATATGAACCAACGAGGAACCTTAAAATTACGCTTGAAAAAAGTTATTGATGCACCATGGTGTATATTGGGAGTATAATATTATCGAGAGAGGATTTTGAAATATTTCAAATCTTCCTTTTAGTAGTGACAAATAATAGTTATTCGGCTCTGAAAAATAAAAGTTATCCGAGTCTGACGAAGAAAGTAGTTGCCACTGAAATCCTCATATTGTTTTCTAAACGCTCCGCTGGCACAGTGGTACACTGACACCCTAGTAAAAATTGGCGATAGGAGCTGCGTTTCAAAATACCATGGGAGTTCTTACACTGAGAAAAATTTTTGGTCAGATCAACCAGAAAACTACATGATCCAATGAGACTACTCCAATGAATATTTCCCGGAATGGAATGATACTTGAATCAACTGGAATAGCCAGTTATATTTTTTCTAGTTGAAGTAACTGGAAATTATCCTTGTTTAACATGGATAGAATCCTTGCGGTAACTGGAATTATCTTCGGAACAACTGGAAAATATCCTTGAAATGACGAGAAAATTACTCAACCGATTCCTAGCCTAACACCCTACCCGTTACGCCATTGTATCCGATATCTCATGTATACGAAATAAGGAATGTTAAGGTGTAAACACACCTCATCAGTTAGAAGTGAGGCGAACATGGAATTCCAGTTACGGTAATAGGGCTTTCTCGTTTGGCATGACTGGAAAAAATTCAACGAGACTAGTCCAGTTGATTCAAATGAGACGTCTTTTCGCATCAAGTACCCTATCCATTTGGATCAACGATTTTTCGGTGTTAAACTAACGTAGAAAAGTTCCAAGTAGACACTTTCGTTGAATTAACTGTTCTTTTTTTCTCCGTGTATTATAACCGACTAAAGAAGGATATTGAAAATCATATAGCTGACTGTAGAAAGCGGAGCAAATCATATAGCCGGGCTATACGAAGCTATAAAAAAGTATACAGTCGGGATATAGTTCCTGTCGCCGGGCTTTACACTTTATCGCCATTGGCTACAAAAGGCTAAAAGAAATTGTGTGGAAATTCGTGTGCTTTGGAAATCATTAAGTTTGATACGGAACTACCATAATATTTACAAAACACACATCATATTTTCCTTTAAAACATATTCTTTTTCATTAATTAAAATGAGAATAGTCCATACAGAGTGTGCAAACATTTCAAAATCATGAGTTGAAAAAAGCTGACTCCGCGAGATTAAATATTAGAGCTAACACAAAGCGGAGCGGCGACGCACTGGCGCCTACAAACCTAACAGGGATACTTCACGCATTGCGCAATGAGTGAAGTATCCCTGTTAGGTTTGTAGGCGCAAATGCGCGTTTCGCGCTCTCTGCCCGCCCGCAGCGCCGCAGCGTGCCACGGCGTCCGAAGCAACTATTTCACACCAGATGTATTTCACAGTATCATAAGAAATTGAAGGCGCTCCAACATAATAAGAATGACAGGCATCCTTCAAAAGTACGGAGCTTTCCTCGCAAAATAAATCAAGATACTACGGCACAAAAAGAGAGCAGTAGTCCAAAAACTAACCAAGTCCTAGTATCCGTAAATAGTCACGTTTAGCATAAACTTTATCGTCTGGCTGTTGCTTTATCGCCATCGGCTATAAAAGGCTATAAGAAATTGTGCAGCCGGCTACAGAAGCTATTGGAAATCTTACAGCCGGCTTTAGGTCTACAGTATTTTGGAACACACATTCTACTGCCAATTTTTACCAGGGCAATGAGTATATTTTTATTTCAATTAGAATTTAGAGATAGTTGCCTCGAATTCAATACTTATGTTACACTGCAAGACAAACGTAGTAACACGAGTGATTTTCAAGCAAAAAGCAAAATTAGTATCAAGCATATTTGTGTACCACGCTTCAAAACTTAGATAAAACTCAACATTGCCAAAAAATGTAATATATCGTGTAAAAGAAATAATTATTTGACTTTGACAAACTCTAAAGTAGGTAAAGGCCTAGCTTAAAATTACAAAATCTGCAATATATTTTCTCTTGTATGTTTTTACAATTAGTGCTTTTTCTGGAGGCAAATCATTACGATCCCCTGTAAACATTCATTTCCATACTACAGCTGTTGAATTTCATTTTCCTCGAGTTTCATAAAAATAACTGCCTTTTTTATGATGCTACGTCAAAGGTGTTCTTAGTCACAGCGCACTATAATGTGGGTGCGTAGTCTCCTCAAAAGGAGGAACTGCTTTGAAAACACTTATGAATAAGGCGCTTATCAATGAGTCACTTACGAGAAGTGTCATCTCCGATAATTGAGACCTTTAATGGCTAAAGGCTCACAAATAGAAAAAACGGATCTTACCACCAATCGAAGAAATGATGTCGACGCAAAAAACACATTAAGTCTTATCTTATACACCCGTGGAATTCCCTCCGAAAAACGGAACCGATTGAGGTATTATTTTCATCGTAGATCCTTCTCTTGCGAGCCATCTTTGTTTACATTTAGCGGTTGCTATAGAAACCTGTTTTAAAGTCGAGGGGTAGTGGTTGTACGAGCGTGCCTGCACCTGGGATGTAAACAATGCAGTACACGTGGTTTGCACGTGGATTGCCATCGCGGCTTTTGAAGCTATTAAAAAAAACCGGCGATGACATTGTTTTTTTTCCGTTACTGCTGGAAAATTCGATGACTATTTCAGTATTCTCAAAATGGAGAGTAAAAATTTGGCCGAAATGATGACAGCAAAATGGAACACGATTTCAAGGAGTATAAATGTAATTACTTCCAAAGAAAGTCGTCGCATTTTTTACTTTTTTTTACTTTTTCCCCCACTTTTTTTGGAGGAATGTACAATACTCATGAGTCTCACAGCTCACTGAGTACCTGCTTATGTACGCAGGGCCGGATTTACCTGCTTGCCGCTCATGGGCCGCCTGTATTTTGCCGCCCCCTTCTCATTCGTTTTGTAACATCAATAAAAACCATCAAGTGAACGTGCCGGAGGGGAAAGGGTGCATTAGACGCGTTTACTCGTGTTGGACACATTTTTTGCGAGAGCCCTGTCAACACTACTGCCAAAGTTCACGGAACTTTGCGCGAAAGTCAAGTTCCGTAATCATCTCTGAGAGGACAAGGCCTTCCATTATGAGAAATTAACAAAAAAATTATGAAAGAGCAAACATAAATCGACGGTGAAACTACCAAACCACGTATCTCGTTTGCGGTGTTTAAAAATCTCCGCTCACATTTTATTTTTTTGAAGTGGACCAAATCAATATCATTCCTTGAAATGTTCACAGAATTTTCTCCGCACGAAGAGGAAAAATCACGGAAATTTTCAAGACTGGACGTTAAGTAGCTTTTCATTTAAAAAATAAAGTATGACAGGAAGTCTGCGACGTCGCAAACCGAGATACGTGGTTTGGTAGTTTCACCGCCGAAATGTGGTTTAATAATTATAACTTCCGCCGCCGCGCCGCGCTGACCGCACTGTTTAGCGCAATGCGTAAAGTATTCATCCAGTCTTGTAGGCGCTATGCGTTTCACGTCGACCGCTGCTGACCGCACTGTGTTTGACGCAATGCGTGAAGTATTCATGCAGCCTTGTAGGCGCTATTACATGCGTGTATATGCCGTTTCTGTAATTAACTTGAGTTTACGTCGACATCGCGTACGTAAGGTTCAATTATAAATTTATTGGTGAACTATGAAATTTCAGCAATTTCTTTCTTATGGTTCCGCTATTTACATCCATTTAGGTAATTAAAACGCGAAAAGTCAATTTAATATGCACACGGTATGTTTCTTTAATATTGAACTATTCGCGCTCCGCGGTATGATTGTTGCCTACGCAACAAAATTGAAGGTGAATCTTAAGGGATCGATCTCTGTGAAATAGGTTTACGGATGATGTGCTCGCTCTATCAAAGTTTCTCGTCGAGTGACATCAAGGAGTGTTTTTCGAGTGATATACGCTCCTAAGTAGGTATGTTACCTATTCAGCAACATTAAAGGCGAGCTTCAGATGAACTAAGTAGCTATAGGTCTACAACGCTATTAATCGATTCAATCAAAGCTCCATGACGCAATAGAATTGTTTGTTTTTGCGAATGGATAGCTTAACTTTTCGTCTCCTTTAGCAGGAAAGAATAATAAGCCACCGAAAATAAGGGAGAAAAAAGTAAGACAAGGATGATACAGTAGATTGCCTGATCTGTGCATAGTCTTGATTATTTCCTCTACAAAAGAAGCAATTACCACGCTACTCGTATAACTCCTTCAAAACAGGAGCATGCAATTGTCCATGCGTGTTAGCTCACTTATGTTTAATAGACAACGCAACGCAACGTATGCATGCTAACATCAATAATACCAGTGTATACGCGGAAACAACTATAAAAGGAAAAGTTTTTGGGGACAAGTATTGTCCATGAGGTTGTTTTTGAAAAGTTTTCACAATAACTATAGATTTTTCCCGCTAACAATATCAGATTCAGTAGCGTGGTGTGCATGCTTTGCTATATATCGATTGATCTGCCATTTAAACCTACACAGGGAGTTCGCAACGAACACCATAATGATCGATTCTTTACCATATCTTTAAGGGGAGAAATATCGAAAATCGATCATTCACGCCTCGCCACTGATCATATGGACGTATTTCTATCAAACGGAACTATGTTCATTAAGACATGAGCCCTGAGACCCAAGAGGATATATGCACAACAGGGCTCACATCATGATGCACATAGTTCCGTTTGATAGAAATGCGTCCATATATTGGTAGACATGCTCGTAACCGCTGTGCACAAACAGTTTTTTTTTAGAATATTTTTCTCCAATTTGATTATCTACGGGGGTCCAGGTTAACTTGGTGAGTGAACGGTTCATTATGCGCGAATGTTGACGAGAACAACTTTCTGACCCGGCAT